AATGTTGGCTATTACTATTATATATTTCCCAGGGAGAAAGGTTAAAGGACTAGTGGGGACCGGGTGTGGTGGCTCATGCCTATAATCCCAGCATATTGGGAGGCTGAGGAGGGCACATCGCTTGAGTTCAGGAGTTGCAGACCAGGCTGGGCAACACGGTGAAACCCCTTCTCTAACAAAAATACAAAAAAATCAGCCGGACATGGTTGTGGACCACTGCAGTCTCAGCTACTCAGGAGGCTAAGATGGGAGAGTCACTTAAGCCCAAGAGTTTGAGGCTGTAGCAAGCTATGATCACACCACTGCACACCAGCCTGGGCGACAGAGCAATACCCTGTCTCAAAAATAAAAATAAAAAATTAAAGGACTAATGAGTGTCTGAAAGTGGGCAGGGGATGTTAGGAATGGGGAGAGGAAATGGAAGAGTTATCTAAGCCTAGAGGTTAGTTGTTCAGAGGAGTAGAGGTTTTATGGATTAGAGGACTCTTTATTTATTTATTTTTGAGACAGAGTCTTGCTCTGTCACCCAGGCTGGAATGAAGTGGCATGATCTCAGCTCATTGCAACCTCCACCTCCTGGGTTCAAGCTATTCTCCTGCCTCAGTCGCCGGGACTAGAGGTGTGTGCCACCATGTCCGGCTAATTTTGTATTTTTAGTAGAGATGGGATTCCTCCATGTTGGTCAGGTGGCCTGACCTCAGGTGATCCACCCACCTCAGCCTCTCAGAGTACTAGGATTACAGTTATGAGCCACCACACTCAGCCCAAGCTGTGACTTTTATTAGGAAAGAGTTCAGGTTTGACTGAGCAGAGGGAAGGTGGCAGCCAAGGGGAGGCAGAGCCTGGGTGGGATTGCTGAAGCCCAGTCTGTGATGCTTTGGATTGGCAGGAAAACTCTGCCTGGATTAAGGATGAAGAGAAAGAAGCTGAGCTAGTGACAAAAGGGCAGGAGCCCCTTCCCCTGTTACCTGCATCTGGTGGCAGGTAGAAGACGAAGATAGCTAGGAGAGTGATGAGGATGCATGGGGCAATGACGTTGACCAGGTAGAAGAGAGGCTTCCGGCGGATGATGAGGTAGAAAATGACTTCCTGGCACTGTCCTTCTCTCCCTCCCCTTGGAGCGCCTAGAGGCTGGATTAGCCGAGAGGGCTTGTGGATAATCTCCCATTGGCCATTCTCTGGGGATGAGCAGAAGGAAGGGGACACACATGTGGGAGCTGTCCTGGTCAGTGCCAGGTATGGCTTGCCCTGCCACCGCCTAGACCAGAGAGGTCTGGCCTGATGAGACTAGCTGTAGACACTGTGCTGAGTCGTCCATCTGTAATAAACTTGGACAAGTCTCAATTTCCTTATTTGTATTTGTTAAAAAAATTTTTTTGAGATGGACTCTCACTTTGTCACCCAGGCTAGAGTGCAGTGGCACCATCTCAGCTCACTGCAACATCTGCCTCCCAGGTTCAGCCAATTCTCCTACCTCAGCCTCCCAAGTAGCTGGGATTACAGGTGCTCGCCACCACACCCGGCTTTTTTACTTATTTATTTATTTTTGTATTTTTAGTAGAGAGGGGGTTTTACCATGTTGGTCAAGCTGGTCTCAAACTCCAGAACTCAAATGATCCGGCAGCATTGGCCTCCCAAAGTGCTGGTATTACAGACATGAGCCACTTTGCCTGGCCTCAATTCCCATATTTTAAAAATATAGATAGCCATACCCATCTTGCTGACCCCAAAGGGCTGTATTGGGCATCACTGACAGTATATTTATGAGCCTTTTAGAAGGTGGAAATTGCCAGACATGTTGGCTCACACCCGTAATCCCAGCACTTTGGGAGGCTGAGGCAGGGGAATCATAAAGTCAGGAGTTCAAGGCCAGCCTGGCCAACATAGTAAAACCCCGTCTCTACTAAAAATACAAAAAAAGATTAGCCAGGCATAGTGGTGGGCACCTATAGTCCCAGCTACTTTGGAGGCTGAGGCAGGAGAATCCCTTGAACCTGGGAGGCGGACGTTGCAGTGAGCCAAGATTACGCCACTCCAGCCTGGGTACAGAGCAAGACTCTGTTTCAAAAAAAAAAAGAAGAAGCTGGAAATCATAGAGCCTATGGATGTAGGAGTCATGTCCACTCACCAATGAAAGTCCCTTCATGAATGTGGATCTCCTGCTGCTCTTGCCCATCAGGACCCAGGCCTGTCTGCAGGCTGACCTCCGAGCTGTCGTAGCTGTAGGAACTGAACACCATAGTGCAGTTCTGCCAGTCGAAGGGGAAGTAGGTGACCTGGATGGAGGGGAGAGTCACGGGTCATCGCCAGAGAACCGGTCAGCGATGGTGGAGTTTGGGACATCTTTGGGGAGGGCACAGGGAAGGTGAATCTTGGAGGAATTGGAGGGTTATGAAGGGAAGCCATTGAGAAAATGGGGGGGAGGCAGTCACTGATTAAGATTAGAAGTTAAAGAAAATGTACAGAACACTCAATGGAAAATCAGGAGGGTAGACAAGAGATGAGGGTCATGGGGATTAGATAAGGATGAAGGATGGGAGTCAGGATGTCTAAGGAAAGCAAGTGTTTCTAAGAGCTCCTTCAGCTTCCAGTGTGGAGCCTGGAAACCTGGATGCTGCAGCTGCTGCGATAGATGGCCGGGGGCTGCCAGCGCACGGAGCCGTCAGAGGACACCACGACGTTAACGTCCAGAGCCACGTCAAAATTTCCATCATTGCTGCAAAGAAGGAATCCATCTGGGATCAGGCCCCGCCCCCCGAGGCCCCGCCCCAACCTCCCGGGCTGCGGAAGGTCTTCTACTTGTTCAGTAGCACCACGTCTGGGAGCCACACGGATTCCGCGGTGATGCGAAGCAAATCGATGCCGTCGTGCTCCACAGGGTCCCAGGTCAGCCTGTAGTCAGTCCACTCCTAGGGAGACAGAGGGTGAGGGGCTGTCCCGGGTTGGAGGGCGGGAGGGGACTTGGGATTTCCAAAGGAAGCCCAGGAAGATAGTGCAAGGAAGGGGAGCAGGGCCGGCATAAACTGTGGGTCACGGGGGCAGGGTTCTGGTTCTGGCGTCTCCTTCACTCGCTGGGATCCACATCAGCTCATTTCCCTTCCTCTGCACTGAGTTTCAAATTTTTTACTCTGTAAAATGAGGAGGCTGCACTAGTTAGCCTCTAAAACAGTGGTTTTTCAAACTGCAGTTCGAGACCTCTTCGTGGATAGGGAATCAAATTAGTGAACCCAAACCAGCGTTTTAAAAATTAGAATGGGCCAGGTGCAGTGGCTCAAAGCCTGTAATCTCAGAACTTTAGGAGATTCCCCCAGTGACTGGTGGATGGCTCGAGTCCCCGCGTTCAAGACCAGCCTGGGCAACATAGTGAGACCGTGTCTCACACACACATACAATTAGAATTAAAAATGCATGGGGTGCAACTCCTGTAGTAAAGTTAGATGTTGTTTCCTTGAGCTTTTACTTCAGTTATAAACGTGTTATCTAAGGTCATGATGTAAAAAATATTCTTACTGGGCTGGATATTCAAGGAAATTGTCAAGGCAGTGGGAAGCCCTTTCCCACCCCCAGGGTCTCCATACCAGGTCTAAGTACACCTTTGTGCTCATCTCTTCATCCTTTTCGTTCTAGAAGGAAAAAATTCAAGGGGTAAAGGTGAAGTAGGGTGGAGAGAAATGAGAGGGCCTAGCGGGCCAAGCTCTCCTGGGAACCCCGCCCCCTTTTTCTGAGCCCCACCTTCTTGGGCCTCCTGGGTCCAAGTCTCACCTCCCAAAAGCGGCGTTAGTTTAAGCCCTGCCTCTATGTCAGAAACACCCCTTCCTGCCTTCTACACTTCCAACCTATCAACCTACCAGACCCGCGCCTGCCTAGCCCTCCTCCTAGCTCGGTCCCGGGCCCTGCCCACAGCTCATAATCCACCCAGCCCCGAACCTCCAACCCGCTGCCACCCCTGAGCACCGAGCTCCTCCCCACCCTGGGCGCTCAGGGCCTATGTGGCCCCGCCTCGAGGTCCATCCCGTAGGCCCTTCCTCGGCCCCAGCTCCACTTTAAGGTCCGCTCACAGGTACGCCCATCACCCTATCCAGCTCTATTCCAGGCCGGTCCACCAGCCAAGGCCAGAGCTTGTCCATTTGTCCGATTTCGACCCAATCGTCACTAAAGGCTGGTCCGTCTCAACCTGGTCTCGTCCCAGGCCCTGCCCCCAACCTGTCCCAGGTCCTCCCTGGCCTAAAGCCACTGCCCTGGCCGGTCCGCTGTTCTGACCTCCACCCCCGCGCGCCCTCACCAGGCTGATGAGTTGCGCCAGGATGAGACCAACGCTGACCCGGACACGGTCTCCCACCTCCCGCGCTGGCCGCACGGAGCTATCATAGCCGGAGAAAAGTTTCTCCCGGAGTCGGCCCTCCGCCTCCGAGCCGTAGACGCCTGGGGGAGGAGAGACTAAGAGCAGCCCTGGTGCCTGGCCACGACCGCTGGCACCGTCACTGTCCCTTCGGGGCCTACACTTACCTGGGGCGAGCGGCGCCCCCAGCGCCCCCAGCAGCATCAGCAGAGCCCCTGGAGTCATAGCCTGGCGGTTCGCTCAGTGAGTTGGCTCGGAGAGCCGCTGGGACCGCCAGCACAGAGGAAGTGACGAGGAGCCCGGGAATGTGCACCTGTTGCTGGGGGCAGCCGCCAGCCCACCCGCCCCGCCCCCGGGACTTGATCCTGTCTCGAGCAACTGCCAAGCCCGCCACCAACAGATGACAGACAGCACTTCAGTTGTATAAATTGTCTTTAATTGAGAAAGCATGGAGTGGAGACCCGATCCCCTGGGAGCAGTGCCAGGAGTTGGGTAGAGCCTGAGCAGGGATTTGTGTGGGTGAGGGGGCATCCACTCCTCTTGCAACAAGCCAGAAGTAGAACAGCCTAAGGAAGAGTGACCTGCCTTGAAGCCCTAGTCCCTCTCTTAGGGCCTCCACAGCCTACCCTACCCAAGTCTTTTTTTTTTTTTTTTTAAGATGGGGTTTCACCATGATGGCCAGGCTGGTCTTGAACACATGACCTCAGGTGATCCACCCACCTACCCAAGTCTTAAGCTATGGAAGTCTCCCTCCTAGATCACTAGCAGGTTCCCGGTCTTTTCCAGGCTGCCCCTAGCGCTCCACGTTTTTCCAAAAATTTTAGACAGGCCCTTTTTGGGTACCTAAAACCCAGCTGAGGTTCTAAGCTGTAAGGTAAAGCAAGTTCTATTCAATTAGAAGCTGTCAGGGCATATGAGGTCTGGAGTGCAAGAGGCCTTCACCCTCCTTGGCCTGACCTGTAGAGGAGAAGGGTGAAACTTATTGCTGAATCAGGGTCTCCTAACTGGGAGGGTCAAGGCTGCATCCATTTGTCCTTTTTATCCAGGACGCATTACTCTAAAGACCTCAGCTTTAAAGGGGACCTGGAAGGGATTCCTGCTGAGGTAGCTAAGTATTCATGTCCACCCAACACAGATGTAGGTTCAATCATGCCATAATGTTGACCCCTTCCCCATCCCAGCTTCCCTACTTGGAGCCAGGGATCCTTCCAAAATTCCTCTGCCCTTCTCCAGACTCTGTCTCCCTGGCACGACCTCAGCTGGGTTGAAGGAGCTAGAAACTGCATGTAAAAATAAGCTTAGCATTCTATATGGAAGAATCATATTTTTAGAGAATTATCTAGGAAAAACAAGAAGTGGTTCTTGATTCATCCAGAACTGTTTTTATGAATCATAGCTGGGTCTTTTCCAGAACTCATCCATAATAGGTAATCATTCAAGAAGGTGGGAGGGTGGGGCTAGAACTGAGAGCAATCATTTGGCTATCCAAGCCCCAGTTCCATCCTGGGTAAAAGGGCTGGGAGTCATGGTCTATGTTCTAGAGCTGGGATTCAGGAGGAAGTATGGCTCCATAATGCTCTAGAATTGGGTGTCTCTGGGATAAGAAGGTTAAACCTGTGGTCAACTGAGACTGGTTCCCGTTCAGGCCAAAGCCAACAGCTAGACAAAGCTCAAATCTAGCCACTTTCTACTTGGAAACCAGGGGTTCATCCAAGTCAAGGGCAGATGCCTGATGGATCCAGAGCAAATCCTGGCAGCATGCTTGCCTTCCAGCACAGGCCCTAGTACAGCAGTGGCCCTGGCTAGGGTGTCCAGAACATGTCCAGACCAAGGTAGAAGGTAGAGGAGGGAAAGAAGGACATGTGAATCCTGAACTCCAGTGAATCTACAAATGGCTCAGTGGCAATGAAAAGGGGCACAGGACTCCAGGAACTGGCTGAGCCGGGCTGGGGAGTGTTTATGCCCTGGCTGCCCGTTTGGGAACTCCCAGCGCCATCTCAGGAAAAGGCCTGGGGGTTGTGTGAGTGTGGAAAGAAGGAAGTGATCACCCAGGACCATCTTCAGACATCCCCCTCTCTGACTCCCTCCTAAACCCAAGGATCTAAGGGTCTCAGCAGCCCCGGAAGTCACAGCTTGCCCCTAGGCTCCCTCAGGGTGGAGCAGCTGGTGAGACCTGGCTGCTCAGGGCATGTGTGTGGCAGCAGGGGTGAGAGCAGGACTGGGAGACAGGCTGTGGTGGTGGCTGGCTCACTGGGAGTGCAGGGAACCTCCAGTCCAGGGACTACATTTCATGGGGCAGGGGGACTGGAAGGGGAGGTCTCGGGGACACTGTGGAGAGAAGGCTCCCGGTACATGGCCACTGTGAAGGGGAGAAAGAGAGGAGCAGGGAAGGAGAGTTAGGCACAGAGGGACCCAGGCAGAACCAGTGCTCTGAAAGGGCTCCCTTCCCATACACTCACCCTCCCAGAACGCCAACCCACAGGAGAGTGCCCCAAACCCCCAAACGGCAAAGGCTTCCTGGCTCAATCTGCCATAACAGGGTCCTCTTATCACTTGTAGCCTGAGCTGTCTGCCCCCAAATGTCCATGTCAAGGTCAACACCCTCTCTTGTCGCCTACATTTTCTTGAATCTATACCCACCCTCCAGGAGCTTGGGCAGAAAGTGGGCGGCTGCCTTGGTCTTCTTAACTCGGTTTCCCTTCATGACCTGGCCCTCCTTGTCCAGGCCGAGGTACCAGGCCCGGCCAGAACGACGCTGGCGGTAGAGAGCAGAGGCGTACAGGACGTAGTAATTCTCAAAGACGCACTCCTTAAAGCGACACTCAGCTGTGAAATGCGGCTAAGGAGACAAAGACCCAGAAAGGCACACAAAGACAGAGAGACAAAAAGACACATCACTGGGCAGAAGGGAGCCCGTGGAATGCACAAGCCAGGATGTAATCCATATGTTTTTTTGTGGGGAGGGGGAGGACAACTTCTGAGTCCACGTAGTAACTGGGAGCAAAGGAAGGACAAGGAAGAGGTCTCGTGGGCCCCTGAGGGTTAAGAACTAGGCTCTGGGCGGGGCGCCATGGCTCAAGCCTGTAATCCCAGCACTTTGGGAGGCTGAGGTGGGTAGATCACCTGAGGTCAGGAGTTCGAGGCCAGCCTGACCAACATAGCAAGACCCTGTCAGTATTAAAAAAAAAAAAAAAAAAAAAAAAAAAAAAAACAATTAAATATAAAAAAAAAAAAAAAAAAAAAAAAAGAACTAGACTTTTAGAGGTCTTGGAATAAGATTCCTTCTCTCCACTGCACCCCCAGCCTCTCACTAACCCCTGTCCTGGATGACTGTAGGGACGTGAGTAATAACAAAGTCTGGAGGAGGTGGAATGAGAAGTAGGGGCCCTACAAGGCAGAAAGAGTTGGACATTCAAAGAGCCTGGGCCTGTGTTGGTGGGGGTGCAAGGCGTGGGGATTGGAGAGACCCTAGAGAAGCTGCTCTGGAATGAGCAATGTTGATAGGCCATCAGTAAAAGCTGGAGGGAGGAGTCCCAGACTGCAAAATGTCCTTCCCTCAAGGGACAAGTTGAGGAAGGGGAGTTCCCAGTATTCCCCAGCCACTCAGCCTCATTGTCTCACCGAACTGTAGAGCAGTCCCTCGGCGTTCATGGCCATGTAGTGACCCAGCTTGGCACTCTGGATGGTGACCACACGGAGCCCCACAGGGATCAGGTTGAAGTGGGCTGGGGAGTAGAGAGAGGGAGCATCAATACCCAGGCTCTGACCCTCACCTGAGCTCCCCTCATCACAACTCCACTTTTTCCCTTAGGGGTCGGGAAGACAGACCAGTGGCAACAGAAGCTGAAAGGGGAACAGGAGTGTCATCTGCTGTCCCCATTCTCCCCCTTCCCACCCAGCGGCCGGCTTCCCCTCTCACTGAAGGAGCTGGTATCCTCTGGGGTGCCCTGGATGCTCCCATCGGGATTTGCCTGGAGGTAGAAACCCTGGCGGCAGAACAGTTTGGTGACGATGCCTTTGAGCTGAGGCTCTGGAGAGAGAGACATTCATCTTTGAAAATGACATCTCTGTTCCCAGCAACATACCTACACTTGGCAGGATCAGAGGGAAGAAAGGAGAATGAAAGGAAGGAAGAGGGTCCCAGGGCCCCAGCCCTCTTACCCTCCAAGCACGCTCTCTCCCACCTCTCTTTAACTCCTGGGAAAGCTGGTGTGGGTCCCTTCTGTTTCCTATAACCAGGAGCTTTCAGTTTAATTTATTGAAATGTATTTAAATGGCTTAATTCCTACCCTACAGCTCAACCAGAAGGGGGGAGGAGAGGGGGAGGAGGAAGGGGAGAGAGTATCAATAGGCAGGGGACAGAGGGAGACCACAGGGGCACTGAAGGGGCAGTGTGTTTGCGAAGGTGGGGGGCAGTGGCAGCAGCAAGTTGACCACAGTGTAGGGGCTCTCCCTCAGGAATGGGGGTGGGACTGGGCCTGACGCTGACTCAGCACCTGCTGCGGCTGCCGCTAGCTTGGCGAGAGCCTTGCCTTGGCCCAGAGCCGGACTGTCTGACACTGACCCATCTGTCTGTCTGTCTGTCTGTCAGTCTGCTGGCTCGCAGGGGCCCAGTTCTCCCTGAGGCTCAGCCTCTCCCTTTCGGCCAGGTAACCCGCCTGGGGTAGGGGGACCTTACCAAGAACATGGGGGGTGGGGGCTGAGATGGAGAGACAGGCTGAGTCACGTGGGGGCCCAGTCCCACTCAGAGGGTGGGCTGCGGACTGTACCACTATGGGCAGCCGGTGGCGCCGGGAGGAGGGCGTGAGGGAGCTGCCCTTAGGGGAGTTAGGAGCAGGCGGGAGCAGGGCCAGAGGGACTCCCTGACTGTCGTACCTGGACGGGGACCACACTGAAACTCTCACAACTCTCCTCCCCCCATCGCTTGCTCTCTGCCAACTTCCCTGTCCCCCCCTTGTAGGTGGTACGACCCCCAAGACTCGGCGCCCACCTCTAGCCGCGAACTGTGTCTGAGTTCCACCCAGCATAGGGTCCCCTAAGCCTACGGGACCCGATTTCGGAGTGGCGCGGGGGTGATGGGAGGGGGTGCCCAGCTCCGTTCTTGAAGCACAGGTCACGAGAGGAGGGCGCATAGAGGGCTGGCTGGCGAGGTAGCTGCAAGGACACCCGAGGGAGAGCTGGGGAGACTGGCTCGGAGCCAAGAGAGCTCGACCAGGAGGAGCCGAGCCCAGGCGTGGAGGAGTGGGAGAACCGGGGTGGGCGGGGGCGGCGGGGGGGGGCGCGCGGCTGAAGCTGCAGAAACCCTTGGGGTGACCCAGGCGTCTGGAACCCCCCAGGCCCCTCTGCTCCAGATTGAAAGAATCGCGAGAACCGGCACGTAGGCGGAGGACGGTGGGGGTGGGGACTGCTGTGTTGGGGAGGGGGGACGAGCAGGAACTGCGAGGCTTTCGGGGCACCAGACTTAGCCCCTCAAGCCTTCCCCTTGACCTCGAAAATAAGGTGACTCCGGGTTATGGACAAAAGAAAAGGGGAAACTGAGGCACAGTCTGGCAGGGACTTTGTTGTCCTGGCCCACCCCCTTCCACTTTCGGGGAGCCCCTCAGCTGGGCCCTATTCTTCAGAGTCCCTGGCCTCAACCTCCCAGGCAGAGAAACATCTGGCCGGGAGACCCCGCCCCAGCCGCACTCACCCGGGCCGCGGTCCGGCCGCGCGGGCCGCCCCCCGCACAGTCGCACCTTGGACAGCAGGATGAGGAGCTGCTTCTGGCAAAGGGACTTGGTGCCGCGGGGACACACGCGCCGCTGCGCCGACACCGGCCTGTTGCCCCCGGGCTCGCGGACCTCCCGCTTCTGCCGGATCAAGCTACTGGCCAGCGCCGCCATGGCGCCCCGGGAGGAGACACCCCCAAACCGGCCGGCGCCCGGAGCGCGCTGGGCTCCCCCAGAGGAGCCCGCTCACTAGGGCATGCTCTTGACGCTCAGGCCCCTACTTGCTGCCCCACCCACAGGACCTGAGGAGAAGCCCCAGACTACCCCCAGGTTCCCCCCTCCACAGCAGCCAGCTTCCACCCGTGGGCCCAGTGCTAGCTCCACCAGATCCAGCAGCCTAAGCAGTCCTCAGTTGATCCCACCCTCGAGTTTTGCCTCGTATTGAAAACGTCCCCTTTCCCTCCTCTCCAGTGTCTGTCCCCACTTCACCTGTCCCAAAGCCAAGCCCCCCAAAATTTCCAAGACGTGGTTTAAATATCTCCAGACACCTTTCCACTGTATTTTGGGGCACACTCCTACCAAATCCACTCTTGTAATCTACAGGGTGTGGGACTTTAGCTTTGGGGATATCGACCACCTCACTCCTACGGGGGCACTGCCAATGTCAGGAAGGAACCCAAACTTGGTGTTTTTTCCCTTGCTACACTCTAAGCGGAGGGGATCCCCCACTTTTTTCACTGAAATCCCCCCAAAATATCTCAGAATATCCAGGTTGCCCAGGTTCAGTAAGACGGGGCTCCCAGACCCTATGGCTGGATAATACCTTTTTCACCAAGTTCCCCCAGGTCTAGTAGCCTAGAATTCTAGCGGCCAAGACCCTTTCTTCGCCTTCACACCCTCCACTCCTTTTGAAGTCACCTCCAAATCCACCCTTCCTAGTGGATACACCAGGTAGTTTGAGGTGTCTTCTGCCACCTCAAAATGAGGCACATCAGTGTTATGTTTTTCTACGCCCTGGCTGCCCCTTAAATTTTATTGGGGACAGCTGGTGCAGTTTAGATCCCACACCCTCCAATCTAACCAGCCCCCCCAAGAGTGCACCCACGTTGTCACCAATCCCCAAATGTGAACAAGCCCCCTACAAGTCAGAGCGGATCAGAGCTTCCTGCGACAGGGCTTCCTCTTCCTCCCCGGGATTGCCTATAGCACCCCCTCTTCCTTTCCCCGACGCCCCTCAACCTGTCCTGTCCTGTTGATCCGGCGGCGGGTGGCGCTGGCTTCGGCTCCAGGCTCCTCCCTCCCTGTCCCCCGCAAACGGAGCTTCCCCCCACTCCCGGCTAGGCGTCCCGGACCCTCAAGGAGTGAGGGTGTCTCTGCAGAGCTCCCCGGTCCGGAGAAGTCAGGGCACTGGGCCGGTGGCTGGACCAGGCAGAGCGGCGGCAGCGGCTGTGGGAAGCTGAGGCGGCGGCAGCGACAGCAGTTCCCCCTCCTCGGAGAGCCGGCCCGGGGGCGGGGCAGGGGGCGGAGACGCTGGGAAATAGGAGGGTGAAGCCGGGCTGGAGGAACCCCAGGGTTCCTTGGAGGCAGAGAGTGGGGACTGTGTCTTACAAGCAGGCAAAGCCGAGGCAAGGCCGCACACCTCAGGCTTCAGAGGAGGAGGGACAAGAGGACTTCCAGAACACAACCCTGGATGGGAAGGAGAGGTTGGGCTTAAGGGAGATGGAATGGCGGACGCTGGGAGAAAGGAGAGGGACCCTGCTGGCCGGGATGTCAGTGAGGACAAAACCGCACGAGGAAAGTGGGGGGAGAACTGGAGAGATGGAGGAGGGGTAGTGGTGAGATCCAGCCTCGGGCGAAATCCGGCCTCCTTAATATCTCTGCCTTTGTATGAGCCAAATTGATCTGCTCCTGGTCTCCATAACTCCTTTCCCCATTTGGTCAGCAAATATGTTCCTCCCATTTCTATTGGTCCCTAAGAGAAATGACCAAGAGAACTGGGGAGAGACGGTTTCTGGAAGCTGTCCCTGGGCAGAGTGCTGGCCGCAGATGTGGAGAGTAGCGAGGCTGGAACTTGATGACCTGTGCCGGGGGCCGGGCTGGGGGCGTAGAGGAGGAACTATTGAAGAGGCCTTCCAGAAGGGGCACTTCAGGCCCAGAGCACTCTGTCAGCCCCCCAGGCAAGGGGCCAGCAGTACCCCCCAGGTCCCGCTCGCCCAAGGAGGCACTTCCACTAGTAGGAGCAGCGTCTTTAATGGGCCCCGCCCCCCACGCCCGCCAAACCGCCCCCCTTGCGGGCCACCTTGGCCTCCTCCACCGCGGCGCGGAGGGCACTGGCAGGGTCCCCGCGGAGCCGGGCCAACGCCGCGAGCAGCGCAGCCGAGCCGTCCCCCGTACGGAGCTCTCGACCGCTCAGAAAATAGTGAGGCAATGTTCCAGCCTCGAGCACTCGGCCGAGCTCGTCCAGCAGCCCGAGGCAGCAGGCGCCTGCGTTTTCAGGCCGCGCCAGGTAGAGCGCAGGCAGCCGCTCGCACGCCCAGTACAGCAGCGTCCGCAGGAGGTAGGGCGCCACCGCCCGGGTCCCGGCCACCAGCGGGCGCAGTAGCGCCTGGGCCGCCGCGTGCGCCTGCAGCAGCGGCGCTGGTATGCGCGCTTTGAGCGCCAGCTCCTGGCGGGCGAAACAGAGCTGCCAGGCGGAGGCGCATGGCCGCCCGGTGCCGCCACCCGGCACCAGGTAGAAGGAAGCCGACTCGGACGCCAGTGGGCCAGCCCAAGAGTGGCTCCGAGCCCCCTCGGGCCAGCCGGCCACGGACACCACTGGGATCAGGTCGAAGAGCAGGAGGCGGCGAGGGGGCTCAGGGGTAGCCAGGAGGATGGTGGTGAAACCCGCGTGGCGAGCTGCATGCACCAGACGTGGAGCACCGGGGACCGGGATCAGAGACTCGGCCACTGCCGCCAGCGTAGCAAAGAACCAGGCAGCCACCTGGGCAGGGCATAATGTGGGCCATGCGTCCCGAGCGTCCGAAGGTTTTGGGACCGGGCTTTCGACGGCTGCCTTGGTGACGTCACTACTCGGTGTTTTCAAAGGTGCGGTGGAGCCAAGGTCGATGACGTCATGCTGTGGAGACTCGGACGCTGAAACGTCGCTAGATGATTTTTCCAAAGGCACTGGCGCCTCGTGCTCAGTGACGTGGCTGTGCCGCTGGTCTACAGAGCTTTGCGAGTCCTTGGGACTTTCTTTGCTCTCGGTTCGGTGGATCGAATCACATCCTCCCGGGACTGGGGGTCCTAAACAATCCTGCCACATCTCCCGGATGGGGGTTCCGCATACCAGTTCTGGGAGGCGGACCTGTGTGTAACCAGATTCCAGGTCCAGTTGCAGTTCTGTGCCGTTCAGCGAAAACAGGGGCACTAGGAGTGTGAAGCCGGCATCGTAGTGAGGTCCCCGGGCGTAGGGACCCAGGGGTGCATGCCCCAGATCCAGGGAGCCCTCGCGAATCCCACCACGAAGCAGCAAGAGCTCTGCCTGGGGAGGAAGCCGAGGGTCCCGACGGTGAACTAGACCTGAAAAAAGTGAAGGGAACATGAGGGCGTCGCCCAAAGCCGGGGCTGGGTGGTGGCGAGGCTGGGAGCTGTGAGTTCCCAAAGGCAAGTAGGGTGACTTACCAAGAAAAGAGAAGACAAAGTCCTTGGCTCGGAGGAGGTCGGCTCCCGCCTTGGGCCCGTCACTCCAGCTCTCCTGCACACCCAGCTCCTGGATCAGCTGGGTCAATTCCTGCAGCTGCGCCCCAGAGCAGAAGTCGATGTCCGTAAGCGGCCGAGCTGGGGCCGGGGGCGGCGGGCCCCACCAGGGGGCACTTCCCCAGACCACAGAAGCCATTTGGTTCTATCGCTTTAGGCCAAGGAAAACACGGAAGGCAGGTAGCCGAGACGGGCCTTTCCTTTGCTGCCAAAAATCGCCCCCGTTCTTTCCTCCTTTTGAGGCCGGGCGAGTGCCCCAGACACAGTCTACAAATGGGTCTGTAGATGATGGGTTCTAAATTTAATTCTCAAAATGAACAAATAAATACCTCCTCTATCCTGGCCCTTTTCTCATATGCAGGTCCCCACCCCCATGAACTGGTTCACCAGACTCAGCGGGTAAAAAGTAACTGTTGGCGCCTCCTACGGAACGCAGTAGCCAGCCTCCGCCGCCGCCGCCTCTTGTCTACCTCCCTTTACCTCTTTTTTTGAAGAGGCTTATTGGTCTGCGGCTTCTCCCTTACGGAAAAAAGCAGTAAGGGTGGGGAGGAGAAACAGATTCAACAGGTTACTTCTTCCTGATGCCCATGTGGCCACGCCCCTACATTTTCTGCCACGCCCCTTTCTGGAGGCTGTCGGGGTGGTTTCGGCGGGGTCGGGTCGCCAGTCAGGGTTCAGTCACTCCTTTCATTCTGCTGCGATCTCGCGCTCCTGGGAGTTGTAGTTTCCCGCGCTACTTGAGCGGAGGAGCCACGCCCCCACGTCGTTTCCGGTTCCGCCGAAGTAGTGCCTGATGGAAGTTGTAGTTCCTCTGGAGATTGACTATTCTCTTTTCATGCCCATGTCAACTCCACTCAAACATTCCTTGAGGTTTGAGACGGGTAATAGGATGGATCTGAGTCACAAACATTAATGAGGGACGGGCCGGGCACGATGGCTCACGCCTGTAATCCCAGCACTTTGGGAGATTGAGGCGGGTGGATCACCTGTGGTCAGGAGTCCAAGACCAGCCTGGCCAACGTGGTGAAACCCCGTATCCACAAAAATACAAATATTAGCCGGGTGTAATAGCGGCGCTTATAATCCCAATTATTCAGGAGGCTGAGGCAGGAGGATCACTTGAACCCAGGAGGTGGATGTTGTGGTGACCCGAGATCACGCCATTGCAATTCAGCCTGGGCGACAAGAGCGAAACTCCATCTCAAAAAAAAAAGAAAAAAGTGCTGGGCGCAGTGGCTCACTCTTGTAATCCCAGCACTTTGTGAGGCCGAGGCAGGCAGATCACCAGGTCAGGAGTTCGAGATCAGCCTGGCCAATATAGTGAAACCCTGTCTCTACCAATAATAAAAAGATTAACCTCGCCTGGTGATGTGCACCTGTAGTCCCAGCTACTTGGGAGGTTGAGGCAGAAGAATCGCTTGAACCCGGGAAGCAAAGGTTGCAGTAAGCTGAGATCACGCCACTGCATTCCAGCCTGGGTGACAGAGCAGGACTCCGTTTCAAAAAAAAAGAGGGACACACCCTAGGACCTGGAGAGAGATAGGGTCCCCAGCATCTCTGTGTGATACAGGAGCCCTGCTCACTTATATCTATGAGAATTCTTCCATGCAATTATAACTTCCTCATTTTGAGGATGAGCAGAGTACTGCCTAGGAAGGTTGTATATGATGTGTCATAGGTCAGAGCTGAGCCAGGGAAGTGCTGAAAAAGGGTTCCCTGGCTGGGTGGTGGGGGCAGCATCTTGGAATCCCAAAGGTGGTAGTGTTAGGCAGGAGCCCACAGTTGGTGACTCAGAAATGGACGTTGGACTCATAGAAGAGACATACATATTAGTGATGCCCACCTCAGGTCACTGCTACCTGAGTCATGGCAGGGAAAACACTTTGGGGTCTCAGAGTGCACACAGAAGAGTTGTCAGGGCTGAAAATCAAGTCCAGAAGAAACTCCCATCTAGGCTGGGGCAAGGCAATGGGAAATTATCAAGAGCAGGAAATTGCTTTAAGTAACTCATGCTATCAGGGAGCAGAACATGCCTGTAAACCACCATGGGACTAGGAGCCAGGACAACTGGATAGAAAGATAGGAAACCAGGGGCAGGCCCGCAGATCAGACTAATCCATCACTGGACCAGAATTTTTTTTTTTTTTTTTTTTTGGAGACTGAGTTTTGCTCTTGTTGCCTAGGCTGGAGTGCAATGGTGCAATCTCAGCTCACTGCAATCTCCACCTCCAGATTCAAGAGATTTTCTTGCCTCAGCTTCCCAAGTAGCTAGGATTACAGGTGCCCACTACCACACCCAGCTAATTTTTGTATTTTTAGTAGAGATTGGGTTTCACCATGTTGGTCAGGCTGGTCTCGAGCTCCGGCCTCAGATGATCTGCCCGCCTTGGCCTCCCAAAGTGCTGGGATTATAGGCATGAGCCACTACACCTAGCCTGGGCCAGGACTTCTTACATTCCTTCTGCCCTTGGTCTGTCTCCAGGATGGCATAGGCCTAAGTCCATGGAT